TTTCAGCTGAGTACATATGGATTCCCCACTCTGTTTCCTTTTTTGCCCCCCTTCCTGGAACGACCAACTCAAGTAATGTAGCTTCCCCAGCTGTAATACACTACATAGCTTTTTTAAAAAAAGGAAATTGGATTGTCATTTTTCCGGTGTGCGGTGATAATTTTTGCAAATTTTCCTGGGCCTGTTTCAGTAATGGCATGCTTGTTTAGTTTATTATAGACAACAGGATGTTGGAATGATTTACCTGCTCTCACTTCGTTCCGCAGCACCTGTTAGAAACGGTGATTGCATTTGCACCTTTATGCTGTCGTTGGAGCCCACTGCCACATATCAGTGCCAAATCTTAACAAAGTGGACATCGTCATGCTGTTTGAAATTCTAGATCCGGGCAGGGGGATGATGATAATGGTGATGATGATGATTTATTTCTATACCATCCTTCATTCAAGAATCTCAGGGCAGTTTGCAATATAAAAGCACAAAAATACATATAATAATAATTTATTATTTCTACCCCGCCCATCTGGCTGGGTTTCCCCAGCCACTCTGGGCAGCTTCCAACTGAATATTAAAAACAATACAGCATTACACATTAAAAACTTCCCTAAACAGGGCTGCCTTCGTTGTCCCAATGGCACCAGCCAATCAGCCCAGTGGGGAAAATTCCTGCCATGCCCCTGTCCCACTAACAGACGACACACAACGGCATAGCAAGGTCAAGCGCACAGCCCTAAATATAGGGAGAGGTGGGGGGGTGCTCCGATTGCACGAGTTGAAATAGGAAGCTCTGGGTCATGTGCATGGGTATAAATAGGTTCCTCAAACTGTTTAGCTTGCATTCCATTGGCCTGATTAAACCCTGCATCAAGGGAAATAACAATTGGGTGTTGTGGCTATCCAATCATACCCACCCACAACACAGAGTTTGGTTGCCAGGTCTAACCGCAACACGTGCCCTCTTTAAGGGAGGACCTGATTAACTGAAATGGAAAGCAGTGGGAATGTCTCTGTGGGATCGCTGATCAGATTGGGGAGCGGGAAGCAAGGAAATGAGAAAACCAATGTATCATTTTGAAACAGGGTGATGGATTGATGGCATGCATAAACCAGATTTAATGCCTTAAAAGGAGAGAGAAAAATACAGTTCTGAAATTGAACGAAACTAGGAGGATGATAATTAGAATGATGGGTATTGAGAAATGTCTGTGAGATATTAACTTTCATGCTAAGAAATTCAAAAGTAGAGCATTCATCAGAAAAAAGCAGGGTTCACTCTAGACACCACGAGCTGCTTGGAGTGTATCCTAGTGATTATATGGAAATAAACACTGTGCAGATCTTAGGAAGCTATGCACAAGTGACTGAGGAAGCTGTTGCACCACTGAATTTCTAGCAGGACATTCAGCATCCTTGTTGCTGTCTCTTGTTTTGGGGAGCACTGTGGCTTTTACAGATGTCTCAGGCAGAAATTCTCTATATAGTATATGCATTAACAAGTGTGAGGGAAAGCTGCACCTGTTGAATTTCTGCCAAGACACAGTCCCGCCCAATGTCCAAGTTGATAGGCCAGGACAAAGTGTGGCAGCATGGAGGCTGTTTTGTCAGTGTGTGCAATATGTATGATTTTTTCAAAAAAAATTTTAGTGTTCTCAGGGTGCAGGAGGTAAGGTACCGTATTTTTTGCTCTATAAGACTCACTTTTTCCCTCCTAAGAAGTAAGGGGAAATGTGTGTGCGTCTTATGGAGCGAATGCAGGCTGCGCAGCTATCCCAGAAGCCAGAACAGCAAGAGGGATTGCTGCTTTCACTGCGCAGTGATCCCTATTTCTGTTCTGGCTTCTGAGATTCAGAATATTTTTTTTCTTGCTTTCCTCCTCCAAAAACTAGGTGTGTCTTGTGGTCTGGTGCGTCTTATAGGGCGAAAAATACAGGTATATGCCTTAATTTACTGTTCTTTTTAGCAGGGGCAGATGAAGCATGCTTCCTGGAAGTAGAATAATAGAATCATACAATTGTAGGGTTGAAAGGTTACCCTCTACATTCTCCTCTTACAGATTCCTTTACAACAGGGATGCCTAGTTCTATATGTGCTGCCTAACTGACTATATCAAAACCCGTATCATTCGGACGTACTGAGCGAATGTTCCGGTCTCCATTTTATTTTTCAAGTGGCAAGATATGGAACATCTTGATTTTCAGAAGAAATAACGCAAGGCTGTTAATGCGTGTTCCGATTAAAGCCACTTACATTCTAGAATCAAGATTTAGCCAACAAGCTACCACAACTGAGCTCTTAGAGATAGCAGTGGAAACGATGGTCAGCAAATCTACTTACAGTCTTTTCAGATGCACTTCAAAGTGTTTGAAGTCAGGCACTTCAAATCTTTTCCCCCCATGTCCTTAGGATCAGGACGCTCTTGTCAGTCTAGAGGACTGATTAATTTTGTTATCTGGAGCAAATGAATTTTCATAGTTCATATGAATGTTGTTTGATCCATAGCAAGTGTGCCTTATTCCTCATGCTATCAAATTATTGCAGCCTATATACGTAACCGAATCGGAGAAATGAGAAGGGGATAGTTTGGTGATTCTGGAAAATTACTGAGGGCACTATTCTCACAAAGTGATGATATGTCACTATTAAGTAATCCTGATCTTACACATAGGCCCCCCAAAATAGGTTAATCTCCCGCATTTATATCACACTTTTCCTCCAAGGAGATGAGCATATTTCTTTGCTCCCTCATTTTATCTTTACAAGAGATAGTGTCTGGCCCAAAGTCATCCACCGAGCTTCATGGCTGAGTCAGGATTTGAACCCTCATTCAAATTAAGCTAATATCTAGTTTGGTCTTTAGATTGTCATCTTACCTGTGAATTGAAATTGGTACGATTTCAATGGAAGCAAATGGCTGGGTATATACTATTAAGTACTGGTTTGGGGCAACCTTATTTCATGTTTCATGACCTTTGGTTATGTTGAACTCATGTACAAATAAATGGATGAAAACAGGACATGATCAGATTTTCACCCTTGGCTTTTCTATGCAATAAATTGGGATGAAAGGTCTCGTTATGGCCTAGTTACACCTTGTCCAAAGAATCAAAGATGCTGATTGACAAAATTCAGTTGCTTGTCTCAGTCTGGATTTTATGTTGTATAATCAGGCAGCTGAATATTGGTGTAATTTATTTGTGCAATTAATTTGTGAAATTTACTGAAGAGTGTTGCCTCTCACATGGACTCTGCCCATGTTTGTTGGTGAATCAGTGGCACATGAATTATTAGGCTAATAATAATAATAATAATAATAATAATAATAATAATAATAAAAATATTATTTATACCCTGCCCATCTGGCTGGGTTTCCCCAGCCACTCTTGGTGGCTCCCAGCCGAATGTTAAAAACACAATACAACATTAAGCATTAAAAACTTCCCTAAACAGGGCTGCCTTCAGATGTAAATCTATAAGGATTTACGATGGTGATTCATATTCTCTTGGCTAACTCCTTACAGGGTTTTTCAGCATTCTGTATATCATTATTATTGGCTGATGCAGATAACCAGGTTACAGGGGAAAAATGTGAATTTTTTAGCAGTTGCCATGCGCATTAAGTAAAAGTATATAAAAGACCAGATAATTACTCTTAGCAGTGCAGCAGGGACAAGTGTGGGTTTTGTATTTTACCTGTTTTACATATCTTAGAATTTTGAAGGTTTATAAACTAGATTTTTTTCAATAAAAAAGACCTGGAATATGGTTCTTTGAGTGTACATTTGTGTACATGTACATTTGTGCATGTATCTGCACATTCTAAAGTGAATTCCTGTCACTTCCACATCTACAGTTGGTGTTGTCTCTCACTGAATGTAGACCCCTATTGCAGCTTTCCTTCATTCCATGCCTCTCGGCTTGCCACAATGCTATTGTCTACATCAACCTGGGTGTGTTTGTGTTCTGTGCTATTTGGGATGGCGCATTAGTGTGCTTCAGTATGCATCTATATGCCACTGTGCTTTTTATTAAGTCTCCACAGTAGGACACAGGTGCACACACAGCGGGACCAGGTGCTGTTAAGCTTCCTTTGCCAGGATTAGTCTTTTGTGTAAAGACATTGGCAAGTAAAAGTGTAACCACTGACTGTTTCATGAACACGGAAAGGTGTTAATGTATGTCCTCAGCCGGAAAGAGGCAAGGTACAATAATGATTATGGTACTGAAGCCGAACTTGGAAGAGTAATGTTGAATCGTCTTTTGATGGCCTCTGTGATATTTGAGGGTCTTTTCGGGGGGGGGGGGTAAGAACTTACTTCAAATAATGTGCTTGGCAGAATAAGGTATGGTGTCTTGCCTTGTGTGTGTGTTACAGAGACTAACAAAACCGAAACCAGCATCACTTAGCTTCAGAGAATGTAGGCTTTCTGACCATTCGAGCCTCAAAGCTCTGTAACTGCCGCCTTGGAAACAGCATCATTTTTATCTGAGCAACTGATGAAGGCAGAAGCCAAAACATTTTGCTATGAGAATTTAAGATGTTTTTCTTAGTCGCTGCAATAAATATCTGGTTTCAGTGATTTAGTGCATCCTACCAATATCCAGAACAAATGTGTTTAATGCTTTCATTACATCTTCTTCTTCTTCGTTGGTGATCACTCGTAGCCGAGTAAGATTGTCTTCCATAAACATGGTTTTAAAAGTCAGTCCACAAGTGACTGTGGAGGCCAACTCTGGATCCACACGTCCTTCCACAGTGGGGACATTGGTTTCCTGGTGGGAGTTAATCACAGTGTGGATTTGCCAAGTGTGCCTTCCTTTTAGCACATTTCTCCCTTGCGTCCTGAGTTTGAGTGTCTTAAAAGCCCATGACACCTTTGGTAAAGGCTCTTCTCCAATTGGAGTGCTCACAGGCAAGTGTTTCCCAATTGTTGGTTCTGGTAGGTAGCCGTGTTGGTCTGACAAAGTCAAAATAAAAAATAAAAATAAAATTGTCCAGTAGCACCTTAGAGACCAACTAATTTTGTTCTGAATATAAGCTTTCATGTGCTGAAGAAGGTATCTGAAGAAGTGTGCATGCACACGAAAGCTTATACCCAGAACAAACTTAGTTCGTCTCTAAGGTGCTACTGGACATTTTATTTATTTATTCCAATTGTTAGTGTTTATACTACATTTTTAAAGATTTGCCTTGAGAGAGTCTTTGAACCTCTTTTGTTGACCACTAGCATTACACTTTCCATTTTCAAGTTCGGAACAGAGTAGTTGCTTTGGAAGATGATAATCAGGCATCCGCACAACATGTCCAGTCCAACAAAGTTGATGTTGAATAATCACTGCTTCAACATGTCTTCATTACATCTATGCACACATGCATATGTTTGCTCCCTGTTCTCTGGAAACACTAGTTTGGGGAAGCTGTTGTGTTGCTGTGCCGCATTGTGCTAAACTGATATAGTTCTCTCCAGGCTAGTCGCAAGCCAAGGACAAACCTTGCTTATGGCTCATGGTTAGTCTGAAAAGAGCTAAACCAGGAGCAAAGGTTTGGATGGCATTGCAGTCAAAGTACGGCTTAATGCAACATAGGAGTGAAGTGACCGTGATCTACACATTCTTGCTTGTTTATGCTAAGCCATGGGTTTGACTGAGCATGACAAGTGAGCCTGGTTATTGCAATGAAGAGAGTACCGGTAACTGGAGGAAATTTATTAGAGTATTTTCTGAAGAGTTTTATGCTAGGTTGCAGCATGAGTCAGTGTGGCCCACACTGCCGCTGTAAGTGTGAAGATACACAGAGGCTTTGCATTTCCCTCTCGACTTCTCTTGCCGATTGCAATAGCTGTTTGCTCTGTTCTTTCTTGTAAATGCCACAATAAAGTGCTGGGATTTATAGAAAGCTGCTTGAGGTTTTTGACAGTTTCCACATACCAAGGGTATCCATGTGGTTGGCACACACTGCAAATAGATTACAGCGCTTCCTTTTTCCACATCTGGCACGAAAGAGATCTGATTCCAGTATGAGAAAACCACATGCGGTCCAAATTATGAAGCTTTACGTTTATTATATGGTTAATAATTTAATGAAACAGCAAAACATAAAGTGGTTTTAGAAATGTTTGCCTAATGGCAGCTTAAGTATGCAGTGTTTTCCACTAAGGTATATATTAGTCTTTGACTTTTAACGACATACGCTTTTAATAAGTTGGTATTTGCTTTGTGATTATTGTGGTCTGATGTTTATCTTGAGATAATGGCTATGGGCTCACAGATAAATTAATCCCCACTTTTTTTTTAAGGTTAGAGAAACTATAAAGAGAAATGCCATTAATGTGAGTCACTAAAGTTGACTGTTTCTAATTTAGTTTGATGCGTACTAGGAATACAGGTTAAAATTGCTGGCAAGATAGATGGATGAATAATTCCAGCAAATTAAGAAATATAAAATGCATTGAGTCAACAGAAGGACGATGTAATCAGAACATGTGTACTTATATTACAAACATATGCTTGAAAATATTTAATTCATTACTTCAAGTGGATTTTCCCCCACCTTTAGGGATCATTTAATTATTGCCTTTAAGTGTCATCTGCTGGGTTTGTAAATTGCAAAGCTTTTCTGTACTTAATTTCAGCCTCTGTATCCTCGCAGCCACAAAAGAAATGAACTGAACCAATGCAAATGGCAACGACTTGGTACTAAATAATGGGTTTGATGCTAAATAAAGGGAAGTAGTATCTCTGATGGCATCTCTCTCCATACCTGTTGGGCTTGCTGGGTGATGTGTAGCTGCTATTCTAATAGGTGGGATGTTTTTGCTTACCGGGAGAGACAAGCACAATGCAGACGCATTGGTGGAGTCAATCTGATGCTCCTGTCAGTGTGTTTGCACCGCACTGACCTTCCTGCTGCCTGGCTCCTCTGCCTCACCCTCTTAGTACGCTACAGCAGCCCACATGCTGAGAAGCTAATGTAGCGGCTTTGCCCACCCAGTCCATTGCTTCTGTCTCTGAGTGTTGCTTGTGCCCACCAATCCAGGGCTTTGGGGTGGATTTGATTATCAGCACGGTGTGGTTCCCAAGTACAGCACTTGACTTTCCCCTATATCAGGGGTGTCCAACTTCTAAGAGACTGCTATCTACTCCCTCTATAAATAAACTGGCAGTGATCTACCCATTGGATTGACCTGAGTTGTTGAGCTTTTTGGGGGGCAAAGGTACCCCTGACAGTTAAGTCCAGTCGCGAACGACTCTGGGGTTGCGGCACTCATCTCTCTTTAAAGGCCAAGGGAGCCAGCGTTTGTCCACTTCCACTAACAGTTTTTCTGGGTCATGTGGCTAAGCCGCTTCTGGCAAAGCCAGAGCAGTGCACGAAAACGCTGTTTACCTTCCTGCTGGAGCGGTACCTATTTATCTACTTGCACTGGTGTGCTTTCGAGCTGCTAGGTTGGCAGGAGCTGGGCCTGAGCAACAGGAGCTCACCCCATCACGGGGATTCGAACCGCCAACCTTTCTATCGGCAAGCCCAAGCAGCACAGTGGTTTAATCCACCCACATCCCATAATTTTTTTTTGGGGGGGGAGTAGGATCAGCCAAAGTTGTTGACCTTTTTTGGGGGGAGAACCAGCCAATGTTGTTGAGCTTGGGGGGAGGATCAGGTACACCCCACTATCAACAGGTAGATCGCAATCGACCTGTTGGACACCCCAGCCCAATATGAAAAAATGGCATGTCACTCTACTTCCTGCAGATCCCTTTATGAGGTGTTCAAGGGATGCAGGGCTGTTTTTGTCTGTTAAAAATAAAAACCCCTTTCTTTTTAGAAATCTGGAAAGGAGGTCAGTCTGTTGCTGGGTGTTTGGAATACAGGCCTCGGGGACATTCTATAGCTCTCAGTGGATATTGTATGGGATGGGGGTGGGAGACAAGGCTGTCCCCGTGTGGGAACTGGTTGTATGCTATACATTGGTACCTCGGGTTACAGATGCTTCAGGTTACAGACGCTTCAGGTTACAGTCTCTGCTAACCCAGAAATAGTACCTCGGGTTAAGAACTTTGCTTCAGGATGAGAACAGAAATCATGCGGTGGCAGTGGGAGGCCCCATTAGCTAAAGTGGTGCTTCAGGTTAAGAACAGTTTCAGGTTGAGAACGGAGCTCCAGAACGAATTAAGTTCTTAACCCGAGGTACCACTGTATGTTATGAACTGTCCCCTTTACACGTCAGCCAAACATATGATTGGTTCCTGCCATTGCTTATATTTGAATGACTCAGGTATCTAAAAGATCAGTTTGTTGCATGTGGATAATAAGCCTTCAGAGCTTCTTTCCCTATTGAAGAGAGTAAGTGGGGGCTTTGCAAAGAAGCACAATCACTTGGAGGGACTTAAATAACCCTCATCAGAACACAGGAAGAGCCCTTCTGGAGCATGGCAAAGGGTCATCTAGTTCAGCTCTCTGTTTTCACAGCATACAACCCAAGGACTCAGCTACATTAGTCTATTTATAGCGTTATAAATGCATTATAACAATGTGACACCAGATGGCGATGTGGAGCTGAAATCCAAAGTCAATGATAATTTCCATTGTGAGCTTTAAAACGGGTTTTTCCCACAGTGTTTTTTTTTATAGCTGTGCAGATCCAGCCCAGATGTCAATAGGAAGTCCACACAACGGCAATCTCCTCACTCACATTACAGAACGTCAATAATGAAAAACATAATAAAAAGCATGCTGACAGACAGACAAAATAATAGTCCTCTCCTCCTTTCACTTTCACAGGCCATAGATTAGTTAGTAGCCATAGGCCTGGATAAAGAGAAATGTTTTTGCCTGGTGCTTAAAGACATGTAGTGATGGCGCCAGGTGGGCACCTCTGAGGAGAGCATTTCACAGTCAGGAAGCCACCACAGAAAAGGCCCGTTCTCATGTTGCCACAGTCCAAACCTCTATGGGATGAGGAACACAGAGAAGGGCCTCAGATAACATGTGCAGGGTCAGGGTTGGTTCGTATGGGGAGAGCCAGTGTGGTGTAGTGGTTAAGAGCAGTGGACTCGTAATCTGGTGAACCGGGTTCGCTTCCCTGCTCCTCCACATGCAGCTGCTGGGGGACCTTGGGCTAGTGACACTTCTCTGAAGTCTCTCAGCCCCACTCACCTCACAGAGTGTTTGTTGTGGGGGAGGAAGTGAAAAGGAGATTGTTAGCCACTTTGAGACTCCTTAGGGTAGTGATAAAGCGGGATATCAAATCTAAACACTTCTTCTTCTTCTTCTTCTTCTTCTTCTTCTTCTTCTTCTTCTTCTTCAGGTATTGAGGTCCTGAGCTGTGTAAATGCAGCCACCATGGCCGCTTATTAGGGTATTTATTACCTCTTTCAGGATAATAAATGACAAATTATCCAGGGTCATAATTTGAGTTGAAGGACATTCTCAAAAGTGAATAAAATGGCCCAGTAGCATTCACTATTGGGACAAGCCAAAGTCCAGTTCCATGGGCTGGCCAAAAAAAAAAAAAGTCTATATACTATGCACCAGTAAATCCACATGTTAATAAATTACTCTTTTAATTAGGCATAACCAACAATAATTAACACTTGACATTTTAATGGAATTTCCTCAAGGAATGGAAATAGCTGAAATCTTTGTTGATTTTTCAGACTGGCAATCTGACTGCTCCTTCAAAAAGCTTGACCTTCTGTGCTAGCACATTAGTGGATAATGTTTCAATTTCCCTTCCCACCCCCCAGCAATCAATTTTATGGCAGGATTTGCAATTTACGAAGTTTCTCTCAACATCCCACCCCCTCTCCTCGCCCCCTTTCAGCCTCGATGCCACCAGTAAATGGCATTGATAATACTCTGGGTCCTCAAAAGATTAGTAGAACTTCAAAGAGGTATGGGAATTCAAGAACCCTCCCTGCTCCCTTCTCACTTACAATGCATGTAGTAGAAACAAACACACAACAAAGCTTGGAACCATGTTTGCATCCTGCAGATCTTTGCCATATATATTTCTGGTTGTTGGTTTTAGGTCTCTTTCAAACCATGCATTTAAAACACTATGATACCACTTAAAACAGTCATAGCTTCCCCCAAAGAATTCTGGGAACTGTAGTTTGTTAAGGGTGCTG